GGGTTTAGGGTTTAGGGTGTCTCTTAGACACCCCGCACAGTCGTATAGTTGTCAATATAGTCACTCGCAAAGTGCATTATGTTGAGAAACCCCCACATGAACCCGTACCTACTCAAGGATAGAACAGAGTTGAGGTAAGGATTACTACAAGGATCCAGTCCCGCATTCCTTAAATCCTAAGCCCTAAAACCTTTAAACCTAAATCTAAAGCCTCAACCCTAAACACCAAATCCTAAACTCTGAACCCTCATCCCTCAACCCTCACACCCTATACCCTAGGCCCATAGAAAGTCCTAAGCAAAGGGAACTTGGGGCCATGGCATTCTGCGTGTAGCCGTTGTTGCCAAGCGACTTTGCATCCTCGGAGGGTTGTGAACTTCTGGATTGCAGTTTAGGTTGCACTTGGGCTGCTGCTAATGAACCTCAAGTAAGCTGACGCGAAATAGATGTTATATACCATCCCAGGACCTGAAATTGAGTGGCAATTTTGGGGAAGCCATATGAGCTATAGTCTAAACTCCTAGTATCCCCCTTAATAAGCCCTGGAATACTCCCCTATATATTTCCCTATATATCCCCCTTTGAGGAGTTTAGACTATGGCTCATATGTATCCATATTCTCGGAACTTACTGTAATCAGAATTCCTGAATAGTGGGCCAATCAAGCGGAGGGGTTTCCCAGGGGGAGGGTCACCGAGGCTGACTGATCCGAAGAGGCTGAGAATTTTCGGTTGCAGGGCTTAGGACTTTTAGCCAAAGGCTTAGGGCTTGCGGTTTAGCGTTTGGGGTTGGGGACTTAGGGTCCACTTTAAAAACGGCCAATCAACTTGAAATGAGTGGCTGTTCCAAACAACCAATCCCTGCACAGTACTTAGATGCTGGTTCTTTTGGGAACGACTGTTCACCTACTGGCTAGTAATTGTAGTGAGTAAAGGAATGAATCCCTGCAGTAGTCCCTCGAAACAATGGGGGTCTTGAAAGAGCACAATGGCCCCCTCCTGCTTCGGGGTAGCAAATGGCATGGATAATATGTTCACCGTAGGTCAAATACTCCAGTATTCAGCTGCTTCATTCATGAGTTGGGACATTGCCCACCTCTTGCTTGATGTACGAAACAACCAAACTTCTGAAGAGAATGACTCACACCAATGCAATCGTGAGCTTCATAAAGCCTTCTTTGGTATCACCCCATCCCCTTCATAATTAATTGAGAACCTTCCAAAGTCTTGAAAATGGTACTACGTTGGGACTGTGTATTGTAAGGCCCTGAATGACAACTACACCCCCTAAATGCCTCACTAGCTGATGGTACTAGATGGAGGACCCTAGAAACCGCGGATAACTTCGCGGGAGGGTGACAACTCATATATACCCTCCTAAGCCCTAAGCCCTAAACCCCAAGCCCTCAACCCTAGACTGCGTTTGCAGTAGGGCTGGGGGCTGCGATCTCAACAGGGTCTGGGTCGCTGGCCAGCAGCCACAGCTCCCAAGCCTCGTCAGCTTTGAGGGCATAGACTCTAGGGATAACATAGACCCATGTTACTATGCTAGTTTCTTCAGTGTTCCCCATGAAACAGCCTAGTTTCCATTACATGTTGCTTTGTATTTTCCATTTGATTCTCCAACGTTGGGGCTTGAACTAGCTGTTGGTTTCCCCACCTTCTGCCAAGTCTGTCCACCTCCTGACCAGCAGCTTGAGACTTGAGAGTAACACATGCTCTGAAAGGAGCATCATGAGCAGGTGACAAGCACGTGATCCAACCAGCAACAAATGTGCGAACCCTGCAGAGCATTGAACATTTTTCGCGCCAGAAAACCCTAGTTTGATGCTATGATCCTACGAGTCTTTGCTCTGAGCAAACGTGCAATCTCTCCGTGGCCATTGGAAACTGCATGCCCAAAAGACGTGACGCTGAACTGATCCTGTACGTCTGTGTCGGCACCCGCTTGCAGTAGCAACTGCGCAATCTCCTTGTGACCGTTCCTAGCTGCACCCATGAGAGCCGTGACGCCGGTGTTGCCCTGCAAGTCCTTGTCGGCACCAGCTTCTACCAGCAACCGCGCAATCTCGAAACGGCCACCTCTGGCTGCATGAATCAGCGCCGTGTAGCCCAAAGAACCCTGAAAGTCCTTGTCGGCGCCAGATTCCAGCAGCAACTTTGCAATCTGTACATGGCCATCTCTGCCATCTCTTGCTGCATGAATGAGCGGCGTGTAGCCCAAAGAATCCTGAAAGTCCTTGTCGGCGCCAGATTCCAGCAGCAACTTTGCAATGTGCACATGGCCATCTCTAGCTGCGAGCGTGAGAGCTGTGTGGCCGTCCTGGCCTTGCCAATTCTTATTGACTCCGGATTCCAGCAGCAACTTCGCAATCTCCGCTTGACCCTTCCAGACTGCAAACATGAGGGGCGTGTAGTTGAGGCCACCGAAGATTTCCGTGTGGGCGCCAGCTTCCAACAGCAACCGCGCAGCTTCTTGGTCACCCTCCAGACAGGCCTCACTGAGCTCAATGCCCGCTTCCCACTTCTGCTCGGGTGTGCAAAGGGACAGAAGAACTACTTGCAAGTCGTTGAGAGCATGCAGCAGGGTGGAATCGTTCAAGCTGTTGCCCTCGTGCAGCAGCTGTTGCAGGCAGAACGGAAAGCCATGCTGCACGCGCAACAGCGTCTTCAAGTCCCGCACGGTATGGACAGTATGGAGGTCCTTCAAGCGCAGCTCCTGTCCTGAAATGGTCCAGACACGGAGCCCCCCGGCATAGAGGCCAGTTGGCCAACCGGAACATGGTAACGGGCAATGGCGCGTGGGTCTTTGCATGGGTGTGTCCCCTGAATGCCCTGAATGCTCGGCCTTGATGCCCTTTTCCCTGCACTGGGCTGCTGTTAAGGAACTTAACTTAAACTACCATCGTATGGGTATGTATAGTAAATAATAGGGTTCCCTTATTATGGTAACTTAAGATACGTTCCTTGACTGCAGCCCAGTTTCCCCAAATTCCTGAGCCTAACCCTGAGCCCGTCGAGCCCAAACAAAAGCATCCCGAAACTCTAAACTTGTCAACGGGGGCAGGGGGGTGTAGGGTTTAGGGTTTAGGGTGGAACTCATCGGGCCTCACATTGCTTGTGCAACTTCGAGAACAAGCGTGTTCACAGGATGTATGCTAACCGGTCTGTATAGGTCTTGTAGGGCTCGATGGCGCCTACCCCTACTGGTACGTCAGACTGAAGGATGCAAAAACTGCGATGGAAGCTCCTTGACTTGAGGGTACACTCCCCCAAACTAACATGGAGACTCATATAGCCCCTTTTTAAAGGACTGTAGTCTTTATAGGGCCCTTTTTGGGTTTCCATGTTAGTTTCCAGGAGGGTGAGGGTTTATTAGGGTTTGGGGTTTGAGGTTTAAGGTTTAGGATCTGGGTTTAGGATTTAGGGTGAACGGTCGTATGAGGAAACCTTTCACACCATCTTTTTCCAGGCATGAGAGCGTTGATTCTTCCATGTCAGAATTGTCTGCTGTCGAGATTTAAGCACAAGCCCCTAAGCCCGCACCCAGAATCCCTGAACCCTGAACCCTAAACCTTAATCCCTAAACCCTGAACCGCCTTTAGTTGTGCGGGGGCGTTACGAGCTTAACTTAGGAGAAGAGATCCTCTTGGAAAGGCCGGCATTAAGTCCTGGGCCCATGCTAGTACATGATGGTAGCCGTTTGAGCTAGTCTAAACTCCTTAAAGGGGCTTATATAGGGTTTAAGGTTTGGGGGGTTTATATAGGGGAGTAAACCCTAAACCCTAAACCCTAAACCCTAAACCTGAAGGGGGATACTAGGAGTTTAGGCTGTAGCTCATTTAGGCTCATGGCTTCATGGGGCTTCAGGTGTTTTAGGACTTGGTTTGTGGCTTACGCCGTAGAACTTAGGAGTTTAGGGCTACAGGGGATTGAAGGGGTGGTTGGGTTGCTGAGGTTTCGGATCCTTGGCATTTGAAATTGCCACTCTCATTTGGGATCATTTAGGGCCACTCGCATTGGCCACATGCCGCAGGCTAAGGATCATCGTTTAATTGTGGCCCATATTGGGAAACCCTTGATGTATCTGAGCGCTGCGCATTATGGGCCACATTCTTCTCTCCGAATGCTTTCGAAATCGTACCTTCATCAACCTAGGAAGCCCCATCATCTGCAGATGCCAAGTTCTCCGAGCAATCTGCTTTTTTGCTGGCAACCCTGAACATACGACAGTTAGTAGTCTGAGGGATCGAGAAGGGAACCATAGTGCTTGCAACTAAACCACCCGTGTTCCAACCCACAACCCCATGTCCTACACAATCTGGAAACTGAAGCTCTAAACTCCTTAACCTGAACCCAAAACTCTGAACCCAAGCCCTGAAACGCCTCCACAACACCTTAAACACCAAACCCTAGTCTCCAACCTAAACCCTAATTCCCCAACCCTAAACCCCAAACCCCAAACTCTAAAGTCCCAACGCAAGGGTTGTGCCTCATTGGTTCCAGTCTCGGAAAGATCTTTGAAGCTAAGCCTGGCCAGGCAGCACTGAATAAGAAATGTCCTAGGTGGCTTAGGCTTGTGTGGGGTCCAGGGCTTAGGGTTTAGGGTTTATATGAGCCACTGCCAATAAGTCCGTATAAGAAATTTCTGTTGGGTTTAAAGGATTTAAGATTTGGGGTTGAGGGTTTAAGGGGTTGCCCAAAATTAGGGGTATCTTTTTGAAGGTTTCTGTAGTGAGGATAATCGTAATGTGGGTTCCATGTTGGGGTCCCCCTTTTTTGGGAAGCTATCACATGAACCACTGCCAGTAGTTCCATTTGGGTTCCATGTTGGGGTCCCCTATTTTGGGAAGCTATCACATGAGCCACTGCCAGTAGTTCCGTATAATTTAAATATGTTGGGGACTACAAACCCTATCCCCTAAACCCAAAATGGCCCTTATGGCCACCCTTAAAGTTCCTTTGGTAAGGCTTATATTCAGCTTCAGTTGGTTGGCGAGAACTTTCCAAGGTTGGGTCAGGGTATTTCTCGTTAAAGGCTATAGGGGTCTATGGGAGCTCCTAAACCCTAAACCCTTGAGGACCCTGCATGCTTCAGGGGAAATTAAGAGTCAACTTGAGGGCAGTTTGAGTGCTGCACTCCCTTCTCGTAAGCAACAATCATGCTCCAACAACTGTTGAAGCAACCCCCCAATCTACGACCATGGGCTGCCATTTCCCTGGACATCTTCTGGACCCTGGTGGAGGGCGTCAAAATTAGCAAAAAAAAAAAAAAAAAAAA